AAACCTCGAATATCTATACATGGTAATGCACGACGATTTAATGCTGACATTAATGCTGCTGATGTATGATCCGTCTAAGATAAACAAAAAGAGAAAAAAAAAAAAAAAAAAAAAGAAAGAAACAAATAAACATTATTAATCTGTTTTAGGTCAAAATCGTTTATGAAAACATCTAAGAAAAGATAATATACATTTTTGTCATGTTTTCTAAACTGATCTATTTCATATAGAATAAAAGAAAGTGTTTATCTTTTTCTTTTTTTTAAGGAAAAATATGTTTTGTTTATTTTTTATTTTGTAATCAAAAAGAAAAGAAAAATATTGAAAATTAGATAATCAAATTTACTGATAAAGAAACTCTTACAAATGATTAATCGTTTTCAAATCGAGGCAATATGTATTATGTTGATTATAATAAACAATGAATATCCTGAAAAGATTTCGAGTCATTAGCTTATTGCTAGAGAGAAATTGCATTTTTTACGATAGTTTTCAAATCAATGCCATAGTCTCTACCTCCAAGAAAGCAAGGGTAAAATGAGTTTTGACTTGAAACTTTACTTTGACGAGTATAGTTTATTATGAAAATTTCAACTCTTTAGATATGTTTCTATTGTAAAATAAGATGGTCGAATCTATCAGTGTATATGGGGCCAAGGTGAAAGACACACTTTTATCGTGACCATATCAAAGCATAGATATGATGAAAAATTTTTAAAGTTTCACAATAAACTATTTTCGTCAAAGTCTGTCTCTTTGTTTGGTGTGTCTCAGCAGAAATATTGCTTGATTTTTATGACACTTAAAACTAAAGAATAAATATAAATAAAATCTTGATATTTATAAAATAAAACTATCTCGGACATTTGTTCGTACTACTACCGTCTGTATATCTCTTAATTCATACGAACCGGTGGTAATGCTTACGGCTCTCAGTTTCAGCTACAACGATTACAAAGTGTGTTTTGTATCCAAATTCGAATTATTTATTAGAAAGAATTCAAATTAACCAAGAAGAAAATAGTTTCAGGATATATTTTACTAATAAAATTTCTTCTCAATGTCATCTATAATAAAAATTTAATTCATTAATTAAAATCGATTTGACTTTAAAAATATTCACCCATTTCCATATAATACACTATGATACAAAACTTTCAAAACAAGAAACTACCAGTAGTTATCATATGAAAAATATTTATAATTATCAAATAAATAATAAAGAAATTTTATTTTTTAATAAGAATCTAATTTTGGTCAGATGGTTCGCAAAAATTTATGCTATCATAAATACAGATAAATTATTTTGCATAACTTTTTTCATGTATTAGCTTCTTTTCTTAATATTATCCCATATTGAGATGATATTAATAATAAGAACAAATAGTAATTAACATATTCTGTTGTTATATTAGGTGTTTGTCTATTTACTTAGTACAGAAAAAAATCTTTATGCTTTAAACAAAAAGAGCATATTAATATTTATATGGTAAAGATAAAGTAACATCTCTATTTCTAAGGATAAAAAAATAAAAATAAAAATTTCGTATTACAAGGATATTTTTCCAAGCTATTTTAAGTCTATTATCATCGTGTATCATAAACATATTACATTGAATTTCTAAAGCCCAAATACTTCATCGTATATCAAGTATTAGTGAAGTATTTAGACTTTCTTACGAGACAAACTCATTGAAGAGAAACTCAAAGTAATATGTTCGTGACACACGATAATAGTAGACTTGAAACAACTAAAAAACTTCTAGAGGATTATTTTGATACATTCTTGGAGTACACAATTTTCTTCTCCATAGTTCTGAGAAGGACCACAGCATTGAGTTTAAAAAAATATCGTTAAAATGCAACTTCTACACAGTAATAAGCTAAGGATTTGAACTTATTTTTTGATATTCATAGTTCATTAGAATCTAAATAATACACATAGTCCCAATTCAAAAGTTATTAATCAGTCGAGAGAACTTCCTTCGTGAAACTGAAACTTAAGTCAGATAACCTTTAAGTTAACTCTAAAAATAATTACAAAAAAAAAAAGCTAAATTCTCTCTTGAATTAGATCAGAACAAAAAAAATGTCTCATCATACTTAATCATTTCGGATCAAGGATGAATAATGTCATTAAGATAACAATGAACTTTTCGAATGAATCTCAATATTTTAAACGTCAATGTAAAAAGATTTAGATTAACAGTCGTATTTAAAATTTCATTGTCTAAAATATTCAATTTAACAAATTTTTTCGTTGTCAAAAAAAATTTCAGTTTTCTTCATAATATATTAAAAAGTGGTCAATCTTTTTTATTTTTCTGATTGCGAATTCTAGATTTCTTGAAAGGGTTTCATTGTAGCCAATTGCTTCTTTTTACAAGAGCATGTGAAGCTATGAAATCCATTTTTATTATGATATTAAAAAAAAACACTTATATGTATATATAAGGATGACTTTTTTAAGTGTTTCTTAAGGTATTAACCTCATCACCTTTTTTGTCCTCATAAAAAAAAGGGCATTGCAGTCTGACATATTTTTTCAAATAAAAAGAAACAAAATCTATAAACCAAGGACCTACAGAGAATTTCGAATAGCTAAATGAACAACTAGTTTTGACCCTTGTTTATTGAATACTTTTCTCGAACGTCATGATATAAGGCTGAATATTTCATGGGATTTGAATACATTTGACCTAAGATTGATTTTTGAAGCGGGGAGGTAAGTGAGCAGGTTAACTGTATATCGAATTCTTACTTTTGGTAAAAGTTGAATTCGTTTTTCATATTCTTCTTTATCTTGATCAGTAATTTCATATGATATTTCATCATATTCTTTCCAACCCATACGTATTAATAATCTAAGAGAGACGAAAGAAAAAGTTTTTTTTTTTTTTTTTTTTTTTTTTGTCTTTTTAATTTCTAATAAAATTAAAATACTCAACTCTTTTTCTTCTGGTGTTTCTGGTACAGATAATAAAAGTAAAGTTCCTTTTGATGTTTTATGATTTTTATCAGCATTTGTTATTGTTTTTGTTGATTGATTATATTGAAGTTTAGTTAAATTTTTATTACGTTCATTTGTTGAATCATTTTTTAATGAATTAAAAAAATCACTACGTTTATCTAAATTTTTTGTTTGTGTTATACAATTTGTTTGAAGTTCAAGTGTAATTGAACGATTTGTTGTTGTTGATGTTGATGTTATTGATGATGATGATGATAATGATGATGATATTGTACCATTTATACCATTTGGTGTACTTAATAAACGATCTTTACGTGATAATATACGATTTGATCCAAATAAACGTGAATGATTTGAATTATTTGATAATGAACGATCTAATAATTTAAATGGTTCATTATGAGATGTACGAAATTTAGTAGCAGCATTTTTCCATATAGATGATGATTGATCATTACATAATGATTTATTTTTTTCATGACCATTTAATGATGGCTAAATAGAAGAAAATTAATTTTTGAAATACATAAATTAAAATAAAATATTTACAAAATCTTTTTCAAGACGATCAAAACCACTTGAATGATTAATTTGTTCATTGTCATTTGTTTTTATTGTCATATCTAAATTTTGATCATTATTTCCATAGATTCTTTCACGATCATCATTTATATAATTTGATGAACGTTCTAAAACATTTCCATTTATTGAATTATGATGAGTATTTGATTGTTGACGATCGTTTGAATAGGATGAAATGGAATGTAAACGACGTTGAGAATTATTTATTGGACGATATCCATTATAGGATTCATGGTCATTGAATTCAGAATTCTTAATCAAACAAAAACAAAAAACATTAGATTGCTAATTAGAAATATTAATACATGAGAATGTTCTTATGAAATTCTTAGATATTTTTATTTTGAAAAATATATTTTAAAAAAAAATAAGAATAGAATATTTTTTCTGTTTTAATAATTTATCAATAACATATTAATCATTATCTTACTTTAGCTAATGTATTTGATAAACGTTCTCGACTATATGATCTTCGAGGTTGTGTATGAGGTGAAGAAAATGAAAAGAAATTTTCTGTTTGTCCATCAAAATCATTTGATGATTGTTGTTCATTAGATTTATTTCGACTTTGTCCTAAAATAATATAATTTAAATAATTAAAAGAAAAGAATAATTATAAACATATATATATTTAATCACAAGACGACAACGACAATTTTACCGATTATTTTATAATAATAAAAAGGTGAATGTCTAGTCGTCGTATGATCAATTATATCCGATGAATGATGTCTTTGCCGACCTGTTATTATAGGTGGGGATGATGATGTTGAACTTGTTTCACTTCTATTTGATGTTTGTGATTGACGAATATTGCTATTTGTTCGATCGATATTTATTTTTTGATTACCATTTGTTTTCTATTTTATTTAACAAAACAATTAAATAATTTTTCATAAGAAAAACTTAAATTTTATTACATCTGAATTTTGAATTTTCATCCATGCTGGCACAAAGCCACTTTTGGCCATTACATTGCGGCAAAAGGTGATTTCACTTAAATAAAAAAAAAAAAACACAATTTACCATATTCTATTGAACAGAAAAACAAAACAACATTACATTTTCTAATCAAATATTGATTTTATAATAAAATAATATAGTNTTCCTGTGATTTCTAAAGATATTCTATAAGTCTGAGAGTAGAGTCAGTGGTCACCGGATAGGATCGCATACAGTATGATCCATGCTAACTTAGCACGTCTGTATTTTCTCCTTGCAATGTAGTGATAAAAAGCACAGTGAATGTACCTTTTCACTTTTTGAAGTACACATAACACTCGGATTTAAATCCGAGGTTTTCGCATTTATTCTTCTGGGATACGATTGAACAATTAGCAGTAAGTTTTGTGAAAGTTCAAAACTGTATAAATAACAGTTTTGATACAGTTCTTAGTTTGCATTTTGTAATCGTGAAGCACTCGGATCCATCAATTTCCGGTCAAAAATGGCGTATGTTCCTTCATCTGGTTCTACAAAATGAGATATTATAATCAACAAAATCTTATCTATGCGTTTTTACTAAAAAACTAGGTTTTAATCATATTTTGAAACAAAATCTGATGCTAATTATTCAATATTATTCCAAAAGAACATTCGGAACATATATTTGGAAAGCGTGAAAAGTTCTTATTGTAACTAGATGTCTTTAAATGACCGAAAAATAAATGAATATTTTGTGCCAAGACTTTCTTGGCTTAGATATAGTTTCCTACAGGTTCATCTTAAAGGACACAAAATAAAAGTTTGCAGCATTTTTGTTTTTAGACAGCTTTATAAATTTCGCACTAGAGAACGAAAACGAACCTTTATAGTTCGATTCGATCTCTGTTTCACATGTTTTTCATAAAGTTTGTAACTTTGTCTCGTCATTTTGTGCTCTTTAAAATAATACTGCTCCAAACTAATTTTCATAGAGAACTACATTGATTATTCAAATTTTGAGTTAGATATTGGATATTATAGAAAAACAAATCAGTTAAACCGTTAATCACAACAATATATAAAATTTCTTTTTTTTTTTTTTTTATTATTTTTAATAGTTGATGTTGAATCCGAAGATAAATGTGTGGAAAATCTTAGTCAAGTTGTTAAACTTCTTCCTCGTCCAATATTTATTGTCATGCGTTATTTTTTTGCATTTCTTAATCAGTATGTTTTTCTTATTAATTTGCAAAAAAAATTTGTTTTCTTTTTCCTTTTGTAATAGTTTAGCAGAATATTCTGATGAAAATATGATGGATGCATCAAATTTAGCAAGTTGTTTAGCACCAACACTTATGCCAATACCTGGAGATAAAGATCAAGTACAATATTTAACACATACAATTGAAATTATACGTACAATGATAACACATCATGAAGAAATCTTTCCAGTAAATGATGATGATCCAATCTATGAAAAATTTGCTATTACAATTCCAATGTAAGAAGAAAAAAAAAGAATATTGTTGTTTAGATTTTTTCTTTTCTTTTCTAAATAAAATATTTTGCTTTAGTGATGGTGAAGAAGATGAAGATGAGGAAGGTGAAATTATAAGTGAACGTTCATTAAGACGATCACCAAGTGATGATGGTAAGTAGGATTTTAAAAGATAAATAGAAAAAAAAAGAAACATTGACTTTTGTTTTTGTTTTTTTTTCTTTTTGAAATATATTTCTAGCTTCACAAGATTCTGATTATTGCACTGAAGATTTTAATTTATTAAATGAGACTGATGTTTGGTAAAAGAATATGAAAATTACATGAGAGATCCTTTTCATAGATCGAGCATGGCTTTTGCATTTCTATTCAGCTATTTGTTTACATGTTGAAATTTAGTTTTGTCTTGATTTTTTTTTTGTTTTTATTTAATCTAACAAAAAATAAATTTTTCTTGTTTTTGTAGAAATGGAGATGGTAGAAGCAGTGGCATTATTTGATTACAATGGTAGAACACATAAAGAATTATCATTTAAAAAAAATCAAATTTTATTTATTTATAAAAAAATGAATCATGAATGGTGGTTAGGACATATAGCTGGTGGAAATCAGTCAGGATTTATTCCTGATGGTTACATCAAGCTTAAATCCAGGTTTGTTAAAATAAAAATACTCTCAAGAGTATATGTTTAGTACCTTACGATGAAATCATGGTTTGGTTTTCCGCGCCTTCCTTCTTAAGATATCGAAATTTTTGCGAGATTCTACATCTCCAGAGGAATGTCAAATATGAGTGAAAAAGTATTCGGGTCAAGACTTGGGTCTGAATCCACAGTTTCCTATTGAAGACTACTTGACAGTTCTTTTGAAAGGAAATGTATTGTCTAAAAAAAAATTTGCTATCACTAGTCAGAAGGCAAGACGGACATTTTGAAGTATGAGGAAATCACGTTTTCTTCTTAGATATTATTTACTAAGGTTTAATGTTAGTGATATAGGACTTGTGTTAATAGCTTTTTATCATTTTTGTTTTCTTTATAGACGCCGAGATTCAGCTCCTGTTCAACATCGTCCTCAACTTAATTTAAAACCTAACCCATCATCTTCAATTACTTTACCGACATTATCAAATGATCACTTAAATGCTTCTAGTTCAATCACTTCAATATCTCATACATGTCATCAATCATCGAATTATTCATTGGTTGATGAACATCGTCTTAAATCAGCAAAAGAAACTGAAATAGTTGAAGTTGATTTTGATATTAAGAACGAACAAGAAGAAGAAGAAGAAGAAAAGAATTGTTCTACAATTGAAAATCAACCTGTTCCTGCTTCTCGCACAATCCATGATATATTATCACCTAATTCACCTTCACAAGTATCATCATCATCATCATCACATGTAACATCAATAAATGATCAACAAATAATTGATATCGATATAGCATTACGTGAAATTCTATCAGGTATTCAAACAGTTGAAGAATGTCATGCACAATATTTTCGTTCAAATATACAACAAGATATTGATGCACCTGATCTTGTACTTAATTTACCAAAATCTAATGGATTTCTTACAACAGAAACATCGAAATCCTATGATGAACATATAATAACAAAATCTTCATTACCAATATCACATTCAACAATAATTATTGATTTAACACATACATCACGATCGAATTCATCATCACCTGAATTAATTCAGAAAAATAAAATTCCACCACCTATTATGAAAAAACCAGAAAAAACTTTACAATTAATGAAACGTCTTGGTTTACAACAGACAAATGAATCATTATCTGGTGCTAGAAATTCATTATCATCATCGACACATGTTAATATTACACATCGTCAACAACAAAGACATTCAATATCTATTTCTAGTTCATCAAAAGCTACGCAAGTTTAAGATTTAATGTTTTTTAGAAAAATGCTACCAGTTGCATTCTATATCATTTCTAAATTTGTTCATTTTTTTTTAGCATGTAAAAAAAAAAAATTCTTATCGTTGACCTATATGCATAAGTCTTTAATGTTAGAAAACAAAAAAATCTAATGATGTTATATTGTTGTTTTTTAAATCGATTATCGAAATATTCTTTTGTACGGAAATTGTTTTGTTTTTCTATATATGTGTATTTTGTAGAAAAGAATCTCCTTGTTAAATGAATAAAATTTAAAATTCTATTGAATTTGTTCAAAATTAGTTTATTAATCTTTCATATGTATTTTGTGCAACAAGACCTAAAACAAGTGTTGAAGTATAAGAGTAGAAATTCAGACGTTCATGTAGACGAAGTTTCGCTTCAATGAAACATTCACCAATTGGCAAAATTTCAGAGGATATGTGGACGAAAGTAGACTGGACTTTCGCAAGTTGTCATGCAACAATATTAATATATATGATACATGTGAAAGTTGAAGCTAAGATTGTTAGAATATTTCTTTATACTCATCAATGCAATCGATAGGAGGTATTTTAGTCCACATCTAACGAGGGAACAGCCCGAAGTGATTTAAAGCTTTTAAGCTGATATTTTACCGATAAGTAGAGCCCGATGAGACTAGAAAAGGACAAGGGCCCATGGGCCTTCCTTCTCGAGTTATGGCCATTTTACTGGGTTTATCACATATAATACGATATTCACCGAAAAATCAAATTAAGCAGTTTCGACCTGAAATTTTGTCCACATGTAGGTCTTGTGGTCCGTATATTAGCCTGAAAGTTTAAGCCAAAACGAAAGCGTCATTCTTGAGATATTGCAATCTCAAGAAAACAACAGTACCATGTTGCATACATACTAAAAGAATCGACTTTTCTTGAAAATTTAATATTTCGAGAACAGTGCATTCGTTTTGGCTGAAACTTTCAGGCTAATATATGGGCTATAAGACCTACATGTGGGCAAAATTTCAGATCGAAACTGCTTAATTTGATTTTTCGATGAATATCGTATCATAGGTGATAAACCCAGTAAAATGACCATAACTCGAGAAGGAAGGCCCATGGGCCCTTGTCCTTTTGGGCTTTTTCTAGTCTCATTGGACTCTACTTATCGGCGTAAAAGCTTTGAATCACTTCGGGCGGTTCCCTCGTCAATGACAATTGAATTGGAAAAATTCCAGAACCGTTGATTTGGCCGATGAATAGCATCTTTTTTTTGATTATCTCTCCTGAATTTTGCTTGGATTAATATAATTTATAACATTATTCACTAAAAATTATGGAAAGTTTAACTATGATTCTCAAATCAGATTTGAACAAGTTTTCGGGACTACTGGCATAACTAAGGATAGGCATAATTTTACCAGTGATTATCTTCGCTCTATCATAAGAAGAACGTAATAATTTCCATCATTGACGGGATCGAGAGTAAAAATGATCTTGTACATCTGTAATGATGAAGAATGGTCTAATTTTTGTTTTTTAATACTATGGCACAATCGATTATCGTTTGATTTCTACGTTGGAAGACTCCTTCACACGAATAATGTATTCTTATTGATTAATCAATATTTTTGATAAAGTAAAGCCTGTACTAATCAACACTTTTCTTTTGCGAGTTGAATTGATTAATAACTTCAAAAAAAATTTTAATCAAAAGAATTTATTATTAACCCACTAGAAAAAAACATATAAATATTTCTTGACTAACTCTAACGATTTGGATTATGTTTCAATAAGTTGATATTCTATATCTTACAGTTATATTGAACATTCTCTTCAAATACATTTTTTTGTGCTAATAACCATTAGAAAAAAAAAATACAAGTATAATATTATCGAAAAAGTCGAATGGTGAGTATCAAAATAATATATTTTAACAAACTTTTTCTATAATATTCCTTTCATAATCTTAGTTGGCTTAAATTGACTGTTGATAAAATTATCTACATCATTTCAATAGAGTAAATAATGGCCTATCGATTTATTACAGAATATCTCTTATGAAAGCTATCGATGATGGAATTAGTTTAACACTTCGACGAAGAAAATTAACATAGATTAAGTACTTGATTCTAGATCATCCAGAACAAAATTGATTTTTGACAGAATTGTTTTCATAAAATCAATCAAATATGATCTTAATTCAATGTTCAATTGACGATTTTTTTTTGGGAATCCGACTTGTATGTTTCGCTTTAAAAGTAGCTAAGATACTGTAAATTCTTTGAACTACTGAACAGCTATTTTCAATTTACTTTTCAAACATTATATATATATATTAGATTAGTGTTCTACATGAAATATTTAAAGATTTCTTTAACCTTCAAATCAATCTTTCATATTATGTTGAATGGGAAAAAGTAATTGAAATAAACAGGAAGTAAAAGAAGAGAAAAAAAACCGACTAGCTCATCCTTCAATCCTTTCAACGACGATTGTTTACATCATCACCCGAAATTACGTTTGTTATTTATTTAAACAAAAAAAAAATGATTATGTCATTCATTTTTCGTTTTCACTTTATCTTTTTTTTTTTTTTGACATTCGTTTTGTTTGAAACCTCTCAAATACAAGTAAGTGATATGTACAACAAAAAAGACAAACGAAGGTCAAAGATGTTTCTTCCATCCAAACATGAAAAAAATTTTTTTTGCTCGAAGGTCATATAACATTGTTTGAATGAAAACAATTTCTTGACTATGCAGTAATTGATTTGACCATCCTAACAATATGTGTACGTGATCCTCTCTCTCTTTATTCCCGACAGAGATTTGGGTTCATTGAATACTTTCGTGTGACAAAGATGTCAATTGTGAATTGATAAAAAAAAATGTGTAGGTGTTAGAAGAACAAGAAAGGATAAAAAAAAACACAACGACAATGGTGTCTTTATACATTTCAATTGTCGAAATAATGTTATTCACTAAGCACCATCATTTATTGTTATTATTATATATATTTTTCTTATTTCTTATAACTTTAACAAATACTTGTAATATATGGAAAGCATCCGATTGTCCCCAACCACCAACAGCTGATGATGAAGAAATTGTATAGTATCTATTTTCGTTGTTTTTTTTTTGTTGTTTAATTTTGTTTTGTATTTTGTTTTTTTTTTTGTTTTCTTAGTTTAAATATGATTTATATACACGTGAACAACTCTTTAAATTTTGTGATCAAGGAAAAAGATATGTTGAATGTGTTAATAAACGCCTACAATGTTGTGATTTAAAAAGTGAACATGCAGGTGCTTTAGCGGCGTTTGAAGTCGGTCTACAACAAGCTGTAAGGATTTACAAGATGAATGAAGAAAACAAACACACAAGGAAAAGCAAGAGCTAATAAAAAAATAAATTCGGAAAGTTTTTTCCTTTTTTTTTTCTAATAAGAAATTAAATAGCGAAATGATTTCTTTGTAAAAGTCAACCTACATATTTTTCATTATCCGATTAAAATACTAATAGGAATTATTCAATATCTGTTTAGAATTGAAAATAAATACCCACAGACCGATCATTTGAAAAAATCATAGTAGCTGCCATAGTTGGAATTATGTTATAAAAATTCACTAGATTTTATATTAGATCTCTAGTTATTTTTAGTACATATAGAAACTAAGTTGTATTACAACTTGTTTTAGCTAAAGATAAGTCATTTCACTGATCCAAATTGTCTTTTTATTTTTTACTTATATAAAAGTTTGATTTTATAAAAATCAAATAAAAAATTACAATTTAGTTTTCATATATTTCAAACTGTTGATGTTTTCCTATTAAATTTGATGTACTAGGGTTGGCGATTGGGTAGATATTGTGCTGGTCTTGGTGGTAGTACAATAATTCAATATAAATGCAAAACAACAACATTACCACCAGCAAAAACAACTACAACAACAAGTTCAACAACTTCAACAATACCGCCTTGTGAAGTAGAAGAGGTCTGTATTATATTATTAATTTTTTTTCTTTTTTTGTGTTGTTATCATATGCAAAAAAAAAAACGAATAGGCTGGAAAAGAATGTAATGAGATATTGGATGATCGTTTAAAATTTGAAACTACATGGAGTGTACAAGAAAAAATTCAATGGTGTAAAGCAGTAACAGATTATATTCAATGTGCTGGTAAACATATAACAAATTGTTCAATTATTGAAGTTCGTGATGATGTTGAACAACTTTCAAATTTTATGGAATATATTATGAAACAAGCAAATTTAAATTGTCATGGTAAAATAGATTTATTTTGCTGTTTTTTTTTTCTCAAACATTTTTATTCTCTTTATATTTTTAATGTTTAAGGTGGTTTCTATGGATGTGATCATGCTGTTACTGATGTACGTTGTCTACAAACTGCACGAAAATTTTATAGTGGTGAAGCATTTGATTCAGCAGCAAAAAATTTAATTATTAAATCGTACTTATTTTTCACTATTGCCTTAATATGGTGGTGGAATCGATAGAAGAAAAAAAAACTTATTTTATTATAATTTATATCGACACTATGAATGAAGCAAAGTTTTTGTTGTTGTTGTTGTTGTCTTATTATCATTCTTTTAATATGGAGAAAAAAAAAAAACTCTATTGATTGTATATTTCTTCTAAAAAAACAAAATCTTTTTATAATTGATTAGGAATTATTCGTATTTCAGACAAATACTTGTCTGTTTATAGACTAAATAAATACATGAATAGATATTTGGTATGATGTTCTATTTAAATAGTAATATAAGTAAATGATAATCTTGATTGATGTACTCAGATGTGTTAGACGAAAATTCAATAGAATTATATTGAGAATTTATTGTGGGAATTTTTAAAGATTATATTATATTGTAAAAGGTAAAGTCAATCAGCAATGAGAACTTGAACGAATGTCAAAAGATATTTTGTATTGAATTTATCATCAGTAAACTCCTCTCGCAATAGAAAATCCTATTAGAGGAACAATACATCAGACTTGTAGAGGATCACCTTAATTAGTTGATTTCTCGAAAAAACTTGTAGCTTTAATAAGGATACCTAAGTTTTAAGATTCCCAGCTGAAAAGATTGTGATTAAAATTATTTAGATATTTCTAAAACCCTAAAAAAAATGACTTGTTGAATCTGTGAAATCCTTTTGATTTTCTGGAAAAACTTTTTAATTAGAAAATTTCTTCTATAAAGACATGTGAGTCCTTCACGACCCGAACCCGAATCTTCTCAAACATGAACCCATATCAAAAACTAACTGTAAATTGACTCTTTTCTAAGATCGATCAATAAATAACTGAAATGTTGATCTTTTACTTGATAATATACATAGTGTTGCCGAATATTAGTTAAAAAAACATTCAAGTCTGCGTCTGCAAAAGCATGAACTTGCAGCTCTCTTCTCTTTAACGTAAAATTAAAATCTATTATTATACCTATGACGAATCTCTAATTAGTTATTGATTTATCAATGTTCAGAAAATGTTGTTCTCTTTTCAATTCTTTTGGTAGAATGTTTTATGTCATTTTGATAATATCGGATTACGAAAGAAACATTGTAATTGTCATATTTAGTATCACAATAAGTTAAACTCAATGACAAATTATCATTTTTAAATCCAACAATGTCGTTTAATTGTATAAAATTAGCAAGTCAATTCAATTTCGCATGTACATCATTCTCATCAAGTTGCTCAATATAACGGCTTAACAATCCGATTTCCAATTTGTTATTAAATCTTTAGATAGGAAGTTTGAACATGATCGAATTTCAATGAATGTAAAATTGTTCCATTGAAAAAAATAAAAATAAAAGTAAATTCTATAAAAGTTTTAACGGTATTCGATTCTTTGTAACAATGTTACTCATGGATAACACTGAATGAATATGGATATAGCTGTGCATTGACGTGTGTATATGTTGTTGTTCTTCCATCCAACTATATTCACATTCACACCTTCCACTCAGGTATTTTTACATAGATAGTAATCGAAAAATCTATACGACTATAATTAAGTTTTGATACAGTGCTTAAATTGAGTAGTCAATTATGTCCGAAAACTTTTTAATATTTATCATTTTATAGAGCTTTCTTTAGTAATCATTTCAGCAAAAAGAAGAATTTTCCATTTTCATCATCAACAAATAACGGTGATGGATTTACAATACTTGAAAATATCAAATCGTTTTGAAGTTCTGAAATAAGAAAACCTTCTTACCAAAGTAATCAATGGGAAATTCTCTATACTGATGGAATTACTGAAGAAAAATGTCAACTTTTGGATTGAAGTACATACTACTAGATTTCAAGTATGTATGTCAATAAGCTGATTATTTATCTATAAAAAACTTGCAATTTTCCTTTATCATTACGAAAACAAAAATTAGTTAATGTCATCAAAATACAATGAAGATATTCCATCATTTTCTTTTTGATACGTTATCTCTTGTACATCCAATACTTAAGTATAATCAACACTTCCTTTACTAACCCTTGATCGATGTAAGATAAATATCATAACTCATTTACTTAAATTATTTTCTTTGCTTATATATTAACTGGATAAGTAGTTCTTCTTATTTTCTTTTAGAATTCAATATATATCATTAAACAAATCTATGATTAATGATTATACATTTCGTTAATGATAGAATATCCTATTACGTTAAAGAACTTTGATCCCTTCTAGCCATGATATCATTTTTTCCAATATTTCACTATATTAATAATGTAGACTAATAGAAGATATTTTACGTGATATATTTCTTTTGTAAAGCACATACTTTAATATTACGATCAAAGTCATTCTTATGACTAAATCAAATATATTTTTGTAAAATATCACGATCGTACAAGAATTCAACACAATCAAATGAGATCTTTTACATTTTTTGTAAACTTTAAATAATTTTAAACTCACTGCGACATCAATAAATGTTTGAAACAAACAAAAATCGATTAATTCTTAATCAAAACAGTCCCGAACAAAGAAGAAGAAGAAGAAGAAGAAGAAGAAGAAGACAATCATTTTCCCTATGCACATAAATACATATTCTAATCCAATTGTACATACACATTGGATAGAAGAAATAAAATAAAATAAAATGAGTGTTTGTTTTCTACAATCGTTTCATAAAAACTTTTCAAAGAAAGAAAGAAAAAAATATGTACTGTTATAACAATAGAAGGAAAAATCAATTAAATGAAGATGGACAGAAAAATATCGTATTACAAACAGAACAAAAAAAACAAAAATCATTTTTTGTTTTGCCTGTCAGTAAAAGAAATAATTAAAATGCAGATGATATTGGACAAAACAAAGACGCAGAAAGATGAACAAGGATAATAGAAAACGTCATTCACAATTAACATATAGAAGACAAACAAAAAAAAACAAGAAAGGAAGTTTTATTTGAATTATTCTTGACCAAAACCTTCACATTCTTCAATAGCAAATAAAAGTTTTTCTTTTAAAATTTCATATTTTTTATATGGTGGTAAATCTAATCGATTAAAACATGTATGTGATCGAGGTAATATATTATCTTTGCCATATTTTTCTATGCAAAATTTTTGTGGTCCATTTGATCCTGAAAAAAGATAAAATCAACTTCAACTTCGACAAAAAATAAATAATCATCATTTACCAAGTAATTCAGAAAAACCACCAATAGGTACACGACATGTACCAGTAACAAATTGTAATAAACGTGCTCGTTGTTCATCGGTTATTTCACGTACAAATTGCCAAAACCATTGTACATGTTTAGTTGTTTCAGTATAATTCTTATATATTGTATTACGTTCCCAATCAAGAATATCAATTTTTGATATACCACACAAAAGTAATTCTAATTCACGTTCATCGAATATTTGAATCCATTGTTGAGGTACAACCTAAATAAATTAAAGATCAAATTTCTATTCTCTCTCTATATTTATATACAGTGGGTCCCAAAATTATTCAACAAGATGTAATTTGGATCTTTTTCGTAGCCTTAAGTGCTAGAAAGAATCCAAATAGTGATTTGAATCGAGAATATTGTTCTCAACAACAATTTCAGAAAAATGATAACCGTCATGAATTTTCCCAAAATAGGGTTTCTGGAAAACCAAAACCCTGGTTTTTCAATATCCAAAAGCCACAATAGAAAACTTTTTAACAGTCTAAAATTATATAGCAGCCAATTCTCTACAAAATGAGACGTCTCCGAGCTTTCTACGACCTTTCCTTCAAAACTTATAAGCGTCACAAAAATCGAAAAAAAAAGTGGAATTTACGAGAAAGTCGACTAAAAAAAAATGCATTTTTTCGACGCTTATAACTTTTGAAGAGAAGGTCGTAGAAAGCTCGGAGACGTCTCATTTTGTAGAGAATTGGCTGCTGTATAATTTTAGACTGTTAAAAAAGTTTTCTATTTGCGGCTTCTGGCTGTTGAAAAGTCAGGGTTTTGGTTTCCAGAAACTCTATTTTGGGAAAATTCATGACGGTTATCATTTTCTCAAATTCTTGTTGACAACAATATTCTCTATTCAAATCACTATTTGGATTCTTTCTAGCACTTAAGGCTACGAACAAAAATCCAAATTACATCTTGTTGAATAATTTCGGGACTCACTGTATATATATATAAGGATGTTCCAGAACAATTTTAAAATTTAATATCATTCTCGTATTAAACAAAAGCAAATTTCTTGCAACTCTGATATATTATTGTATCTACTTAGTACTCAATAAATGCGAAGTTTGTAACTTATAGGTTTTATTATGGATGACATTCTGTAATAATCCATATCACAAATTTATTCGCACTATCGTCAGTGTAATGCACATTGTATCTTAACAATACAAAACAAAGCTAAAGAATTGCTAGATGAATCAGAATATGTAATTTTTCCATATGATCAAGACTCTGAATAAAGGATGTGCGCAGCTTCAATGTTGTCAGATATGTTTTATTAATCGAATTGAAATAGAAAATTAATAGAATTAAAAAGGAATGAAACGAAGTTAGTATTTCTTTTTATGCTAAAGAATAATAGATTAAGTACCCGCATATTCAAAAATAGTAATTGATCAGGATAGTAATCAAATTATCGAACACGACCAACTTTATAAGTGCTTCTTTTTCTTTCGCAAAAGCTATATTATTCTATAAATCTCACAAGTTTGTAGTTTTTTAATACTAAGTATGTAGAATAATCAATTAAAGGTTAAAAAAATTTGCATTTGTTTAATATAAATGGATTCTAAAATTGTTCAAGAACTTCTGTGACAACTCTTAAATATTATCTATCTAATCTCTTGGAAATTGTTGAGCACCTACAAAAACTACGGATATCCATTTTGAACTGAAATGGACATTCGTATAATTTTTCTAGAAAACAAAGTACTCATTCTACTATCAAGCACTGTTATTATTTTCTCTTTAGATATTTATATATACTCATTTGTGTGCTTTCATACGATCTGTTTACTCAACAAATCATCAACACATATAGATAGATCAAGGACAAAGAAAAGTCAATATAACATGAAAGAAGAATAACAAGAAATAAAAGAATTCATAGAGATATCACACAATAATAAACACAGACTATAGATTTTGTTTACTCAACATAGATATATGAGAAAATAATCACGTGAAGTCTTCCTATTTGAAGCACATGTCAAAATCACAGTTAACTATCTATTGCCATTGTCGAATTATTAAAGCTTTAATTCTAACACGTTAATAAATATATTTAATACATATTTTTTTAGAAGATTGGAGCAAAAGAACAATAAAATTCTAGAAGTCAAGTTGATCTTTGACTCATTCATAATATTTATTCTTCTTGTTGAAAATATTTCTTTTTCTATTATACGAAGTCATGCTACTCCTATTTTAAATATTTACACAATCTGTGCTAAAAAAAAAAACTTACTTCATTAAATCCATGTAAAAATGCTTTTGTTTGTTCTTCGACTCCGCGTGTAAATCTCCATTTGGTCATTAATTCTAAATATTCATTTTTATTTTCTTCTGTTAATTTAATATCATTTCCATCTGGTTTTAATTCAATAATTTCAATTTTTCCAAGTAATTCAAATGATGTATTAAAATATAATTCAAGATTATCATTATCATTTAAATTATTTTCACTTATCCATAATAAACTACTATAAAATTCTGGATCTAATGATTCTAAATCATGCATTGTTAATGCTTTACCAAGCATACGTTTATAAAATGCTAAACTAAAACCATTATCAATAAATTTTCCATGATAAAGTGCCATAGCAACAATACGACCAATAAATCTAAAAAAACAATTCTATTAAATCAAATGAATAATTAAAAAGTTAGTTTTTTTTTTTTTCTTGGTTATTATTTTATTATTTACCGAAAATAAGTTAAATGATCTGGATTAATTGATGATGCAGGATTTATTTGAAGATAATAATTATTTTTATTAGCATATTCAAATAAACAATACATTGGATTAAGTACTTCATGTGATAAACGAAAAAACCATTCACGTGCAACACCACCATAATCAAGACCTTCTTCACCTTTGAACAATAAATATAAACGACGACGAAGTTCAGATGATTGACATTGCATTATATGTGTATAAGAATCATTGAAAAGATTATCTCGTCGTATAGTTAATTTTAATTGTCCAGGTGTAGCATTTGTTGTACATAAATAACGAAATTGTCGAATTTTATTTGAAAAACTTCGTCGATAATTTGGCGCAGCTGTTGCATTGGATTCAAGTATAGACTAGGAAAAAGAAATTAAAAAAAAAGCACAAGAAAAGTTTGTGTTTTTTTTTTTTTTTTCAACAAAAAAATTTATTTCATTTACTGGCATAAGACCATATCTGGGATCTCGAAAAGTTGTTGTTTTTGTATTATGATCAACAAAATAAACTTGTCCTTCTTTTGTATAACGCATTTCAAAACCTTGTGGCAATGGTATATCAAATATATTATTATCCATTCGTCGTGGATCTTCCCATTGAGTTGTTTTAGATATATGATTAAGATAATAAGTTCGACCTTGACTGTCATGTTTTTTTTCCCAACCTTAAAAAAAGAAAATTTTATTTCAGATCAATCTCAAAGAACACCACCGAATACGATCGCAAATCTGTTATGCCCTTAAATCTCGCTGTCAATAGAATAGAAATATACGACATGGAATTTGATATATTTCCATCTATTCATTTTTCACATTTCAAATAATAACTATGATATCCGTAGTTTTTCATGCTCTAAAAGTTTACATAATGATCATGTTTACCATTAACTTTTGTCTTAGATTATGTGATTTCATACAGGTAAGATATCATACCTGTATGACCTTACATAAAATAATTGATGAAGAAGATCAATATGTCATTTTATAGAGCATTGATAATATTTAAAATTTACACATTCCTGAAGACTATTTAGTCCACGAAAATTTCTTTTATTGATGTTTAGTAAAAAACAAAAACTTATTTTTTCATTCTAATTTACCTTCTGGTAAAGTTTCTTCAGTCGAATCAGAAGCATCATTTGATTGAGTATTTATATCAGTTTGTGGTAAAAATCGATGTTCAAATTGATTAAATACAGAATGACTTCTAGCATAATTATTTTGCCATTCAGCAACATTTGATAAATGAGTAGCAGTTGGTAATTTCCATGTTGTTGTACGAGTATTATGATCAACATAATAAACACGTCCACGATTATCAACACGTTCTTCCCAACCAAGTGGAAGTCTATCTTGTTTAAGACACCAAGTTGTTCGACGACGATTATGATCAACATAATAAGGACGACCTAAAGGATCAAATCGAATTTCCCAACCTGATGGTAACTAAAAAAAAAAAAGAATATTATTTAATAGAATTTTTTGTTTTAAATACAAACTTGTTCTTTAAGTTCAGCTAAAGATGTTTCAGTTTTTGTTACTATTTGATGTCTATCAGGAATGACCGCTGCTGCTGCTGCTGCTGCCGCTGTTTCTGTACTAGTACCATTTGTTTGATTATCTGAATGATATTGTTTTAAAGATGTGTTATTATTTACTGATGATAAATTTATTTCTGAAGTTCTTTCATTTGATGATAATGATTGATTTTGTATTTCTAAATTATTTTCTAATATTGAATGAAATGATGATGAACGTGATAGTTGTTGTTGTTGTTGTATATCCTGAACAAAATAATAAATCTATATATTAAAATATGTTTTTTTTTTTTTGGTTTTAGTACTTGATGTGAATTTTGTTGATTACTATTATCATCATGTTGTGTAAGTAAAGAACCATAAAAAATAATTTCAATTATACCATTCGAAAGATTATTTGTATCATTTGATCGAAATATTGATGATGATCTTGTTAGATTATCATAAGGTAATTTAACAAGATAAGATGGTATTGTATCATTATTGATTTGTTCAGATAAATGATAATCATCAATAATTGTTTTTATATTTAATTGTAATTGTCCTATATCATGATTACCAAAAAGACGTGTTGGAGCAAGAATTTTTATTAAAATTTTTGAATTTAATGTAACAAGTATATCAAATGATTCATTTATAGTTATTATTGATGAATTTGTATTTAATTTATTTTTTTTACGTATTATTTCTGTTCGATAAAAATGTTTATTATCTACTTCCATTACAACACTTATATCAACAGGTTTTATTGATGATGGTAAACGTACAGAACATATTTTAACACGTAATTGTGATAGAGTTTCTGTTGTACGATTATTATCTTTAGCTGCTGATGATTGAAGCATCACCGGGATATATTTCTATTAGGTAATCATAATGTAACATAAAAAAACAAGAACTAAAATGACAAATAAAAGAATTAAATTTTTTGTTTTATTTTGTTCTTTTGTGTTTATATAAATATAGACAAATGCCTTAGAGCAATTTCGATCGCCTGATCAACGAAATGTGATGTAAAACAATATAACGAAAGGAAAAATTATATGTACACACGTTATGTTTACCTTGCTTATTATTTGTCTATCGAATAACCAATCATATTTTCTTAGATTTTATTATTATTATTAATGATAAAAAATATAGTCTTTTGACATTAAGAAAAGAAAATGATGATTGTTACAAATAATAGAATAATTTTAGCTTAAATCTTTTTTGCAAAAATGAAATTTTTATGTAATATTTTGTGGGACGCATCTTTTTTGATAAATTTACAAATTGTTTTTGCTGTGGAATGTCAGATCGAAGAATGATAAAGAGATTTTTGTGATGAATCTATTCAAAGTAAATGGATTAGTAGGAGACATTTAACTGATTAAAATTAAGATTGTCTTTATGTTTTTCCACTGAAAATGAAGCAAATAACTTGGATTTTGAAGATATAATTCAAACAATTCACTAAGCAAAGAAAAATTAGAATATTTTCGCCATATTTCCATTAAATGGACTAAAATTTTTACTAATGATAAATAAGTTTTGTTCATAACTTGTATTCATAAGATAAATGTTGTTAAAAATCTTTCTTTTTTTTTTGTTTTTTGAAATATTTTACAATTGACTTTTGAGAAGTTAGGAAAAATAATAAACAGAAAATATTTATTGACAAAATTACAATATGAGTTTTTCATTACTGGTACAAGATTACCGAATGTTTGTTGAAATTAGTTGTTTTACTTCAAAGTACTTATGGTCTTTGGCTATTGATCACTATCATTATTATCGGTATCTATACACCATAGCCGACAGACGGAATTTAACATAGTGAACTGAACCATCGCGCCCGTTTAATGCCATCAAATTTTCTTTCCTTTCACTGCGCTATTTTTTCTTCTTACTCGTTCACTGAAATTATATGCAAGCAAGACATACTACCTTGTTTCTATTTTGTTGTTGGCGACAACAGAAAAAGAAAAGTGGTTCACATCATTTTTAAATTTTATTTAGTCATAACTAGCGGTTTTATGTGGCTGTTGACAACTTGTGAGTGTTTTTTTTACATAAGACTGCACCATTGTTATGCATCAATTTTATGATATGATAGTTTTTACTTCCGATGTGATAAAAAAAACTTTTCACCTGATTGTGTGTTCATCTCGTCTAATAGCGATATCACAAACAAATTTCTCAACTAACTTACACCCAACAGAGTAGACAAGATTGAGTTTTTTTCTACAATAAAATTCTAATTATCTTCTATTTTATTCTAGATTAAAACAAATTTAATAGCAAAATTACTGCAGAATGAGCACAAAATTGCATGCTACACTAGTGGCAACAGACGAAAGGTCGAAGTCGGATCTAGAATGTTCTTCATGTGGTTTAATTGCCAATTTTGCGTGTATTGATCATTGTAAAGCTGTTCTTTGTGCTCAATGTACTAACAAACATCGTGCTGATGTTATTCGACAAATGCGTGAACTTTTCAAACGATTGAAACTGTACCAAATGAAATTGGCTAACTCCACTAATATAGCAGACAGAAAATATGTTCAAAAATTAAATGCTCTAGAAAAAAACACCGATAATCCTATAGAGTAAGTGTCTGAGCATTATTTGATATGAGCAAAAAAAAGATTATGGTATTTTTGATAGAGAGATAAACTTACAGAAGAACTTTTATGCAATATTTATTTATTGTTTAGTTCCAATTTATTGTCTTTGGAAAGTGATTTAATTATTCTCAAGGAACATATTGAAAAGAATCATTTACTTGATGCAAAAATACTTGCTGACTTAGATAGGCGTCTCAATGATCAAATAGAACAAATTACTAAAAAGTCTCCATCTCTTACGACTTCTCATAATTTCGATACGAACATAATTTTACTTCGTCGCTCTCGTGTAAGAGCACAAACAGCAAGAGGAAATTGGTCGAAGACAATTACTGTCTCACTCAACATTCAAAAAGATTTTCCACTTCCTATCGAACGTTCCTTTTCGATGGGTCCACATCCAATAGCAGTTTCACTGGTTGATTCCTACCTAGAAACAGTCTTTTGTCAAGGTCGAGATAATAGTGTCATACTATTTAGTTTATTATCCATTGATGTGTACACACGTGGTTCTGGTTTAGCTTGGTCTATTCCTATTAGCCGAGTGTTGGGCAATGTGAAAGATAAGATCTTTGCGGGTGTTTGGTGCTTTTACACTGAACGGTTAATTCTTGTTGGTCGATATCATTTTTACATGTTTGATATTGATCGGCAACGATTTCGATGTGTTTGAACAGGTGGATGCGGTGCTCGTTGTTGTTCTGGCACAATGCCACCGAAGTCACATCGCAATATGACAATAAAATATCGTTATCAGCCAATTTATGATGACCGTAGTGATTCTCGAAGATTTCTTGTCAGTAACCACAATGGGCTTTTGTTCTATGGTGAGCTTCAGTAGTTTTTTTCACTGTCAAAATGTTTTCGTTTTACTTTTTTCGGTTACAAATATCACCCGAACATGACTAAAATTTTAACTACAAGTCAAAAAATAGAAAAACTACTTTAAAATGTATTATTGACTTTGACTAGTAGAAAATCTCTCACTGTTAGAAGAGATTAATATAGTAGAGCATAAATATAAGTTTATCATTGATTTTAGCCTACAAATCTGGAGTAGACACATATCGATTAGAAACAATTACTTTGACAAATCCATTGGATGGTATAGATGAAGAACAAGAAAAACAATTGTCTACATATGATTTGCACAGTACAGTGAAAGATAAAGAAATGAAATTAATTAATAACTTATCGATTGATGGACAATTGGCCGCCATCTGTGTATCATATGATCGTCTAGCTTTTGTTTACCGACGTTTTCCACGGATAAAAAAATCGACTACACAATTAAAAAATATATTGGAATTTGATCATTATTTTGCCTTGCATAATCATTCTCTTAAAAACTTAGCTGATCACGTTCGGTTGCCTTCTTCAATTCGATGGGTGACAGCAATCGTATCTTATGGAACAGAATCCCGATATCTTTTGTGTGATCCTCGAAGTCAACAATTACTTCTCTATCAAGCTATGGATGGTGTTCTCATTCGTCGTTTTCATATTGGACCAGTCAATGCATACTGTCTCACTGATGGCCGACTAGTTTTATGGATACAAAAAGCATATGCCAGTTCACCAATTGGAAAAATACATTTTATTAGTACTCCTCATGTAGAAAAGTANCGCTTAAGTATGTAACGGGGGTAGAAGCAACGGATAATAAGCAGAAATCCTCACAGACCCAAGTACCCCCGCTCGGGTAGCTAGACGAGGACCCAAGAACTGGGCATGGTCGTTTCTTACCTATGGCACGAGCACTTTAACTTTAACTTTTAAAGTAAAATTAAAGTTCCGCCCCTACAAGAAGCTAAAAATCTTGCATTTGTACATCGAAGTTTGTATGATTTCAGCTTAAGTTTTATGCAAAATAAAAGATGCTACTTGAAATCAATATAAAATACCGCATCGCATTATATGTATTGTTACGAAAAACAGTTTTCATCAAAGAATTGACCCTAGTCTCACTCATCAGCTTAAATTTCGTAGTCAGATCCGATCTTGTACAAGTTGAATTTCGACAAAAAAAAATAATTTTCGTGACAATAGGGTGTGGGTATTATCTCTTAAACATATCTCCTATCTACCATCGTTCCCACTTCACACACTGAACTGATATCTTCATCGTTGATGATGAACGTAATCATAAAGTTCGAAAATTTCAAAAATAAATGTTAAATTTGTATTTCACTGCACCTATAATTATTAGAATCCTGTGAGACTTTTTTAAAATTAAATGGAAGAGAATAAACAGAATTCAAGATTCGAAAAAAGTTTGTCCCACAAAATTCTTGTTATCATCGAATATTGTAGAGAACTGAGTGTTTGTTGCAAAACTCATCATTTCAAGTGTTTTTTTTTTCTCATAAAAAAGATTGTCATTCATTATTTTATTTTTTCTATTGGAATAAGTACTGTTTCTTCTGTTTTTGATGTGCTTGTTGATAATTCAAATCGAATAGCATAAAACATATAAGTTTCGGGATCAAATATAGCAAATGCTTTAGTTTCTTGTCCAGCGTATTGATAATGCATTCGATCTAAATTAATTTCGGGTGTTTGATTTTGTCTAGCATTAAATTCCATTGTACGTAAAGCTTTTCGTTCAAAGTTATAAAAATATGAACCAGGACTTTTTAGTACAAGTTCATTTTCTTTATTTAAATACATCGCCATAAATACTCTTTCATCATGTTCACAATCATCAGCATATATAAATGCTACTAATTCATTTATGTATGATTGATTACTTTTTAAAAATGATTCACGTGTAATTAGATCAATTGGCTTATTCAATTGTTCAACAACTAATGAACATTGTTTAGTAAAATTATCAGTTATAACAATTTTAAGTTTAAATGGTTGTGGTAAACTTTTATGTATACGTGCTCGTGTTTGATTATCTGTACCAGGTTCACCTTTAAGACGTATATTTCCTCTAATCATAAATGAAAATAATTTATCTGGTTCAATATTAATAATAGAATCAGTTAACCATTTAGGTTCTTCATTACGTATTGCTATTGGTGCAATAGCAACATCTTGACATTCACGCCATGATCCATCATGTATTTGATAAAAAACAGTTAAATTAGCAACTGATATAGGCTTTTCAACTGGTACTGAACGTTTTTGTTGTAAGATTTCAGGTAAAACAGTTGGTTTTTTTGAAAATATAATATGTGTTATGGCAAAATATTGACGAAAAGTATTATTTTCTGATGGACGTATATCTTGACCTGCAGTGACTGTATTTGTATTTCCACATGCCATGCGAATTAATGATTCACCTTCACATTCATGTTTTGCTACTTTTAAATTTTGTGTATCAATAAGAACAATATGTGGACCTGTTTGTTTGGGTGATGGAAGTTTAGAAGCGAGTTCTTGTAAACGTTGACGTTGTTGATCTATGCGAGCTGTACTATCAATTGTTTCACCTAATAAATGAGTTATTTCACCTTTTCGTATTCGCATACGAGAATGATCTAATAGAATATGTAATTTTTTAGATAATACTTGATCATTTGAACCAGTTTTTAAATTACATATAATAAATAAATCTTTATTTGAAATCGTATCATATTCCCATTTTGTTTCAATGAACCAATTCATCGATGGTGTTTGATCATTATCATTTGTGTTATCAAGTCGAGCGATCAAATTGTCTAAAATAAAACTAATTATTATCCATTTTCAAAAAAAAGGCGGTTGAGCATTTTTTAAATAACTTTTGATAGGAACTAGATAGAGAGGTGCGGTTTTCACCATTACGAAGACAAGACCGGGGCACATAATATGCGCTAAGATCCTATCGGTTGATAATGGTCCAATCAAATACATTCTCAGTGAACATTTTCAACTCGTTATTCTGAAGTCATTTCGCAACTTTACTGAATTATGAATTTANCTCTTGTATCAATATTTCAGAAATATCGACTCATTTGATATATAGCGGTAGATTTTGTGAATTTTTGAAAATTCTTAAATAACACCATTAGATCATTTCGAATTCGAAAAACAAACATCACCATTCGACTCAGCATGAGGAATTATCCCATCCTAAATGGCTTTTCAGGTGATCCCAGGCCAATTTGCTAAAATCAGGGGTCTCAGAAAAAACCTTATAACTCTCCAACGGAGCCAGCTAGAAAGGTCGGCCTTGCGTAGATCGATAGAGAACAATTTTTTCTATAAAATAAGTAAAATTCATAATTCAGTAAAGTTGCGAAATGACTTCAGAATAACGAGTTGAAAATGTTCACTGAGAATGTATTTGATTGGACCATTATCAACCGATAGGATTTTAGCGCATATTATGTGCCCCGGTCTTGTCTTCGTAATGGTGAAAACCGCACCTCTCTATCTAGTTCCTATCAAAAGTTATTAAAGAAATGCTCAACCGCCTTTTTTTTGAAAATGGATAATAGGTTTCTTTTTTGAGTAAAATTTCTGACAATGTAGACGAAGAGATCTGAGTCATTCCAAAAGAAATTTCGATGTGTGAACGATATATAAGTTGAATTGTCCTTGAAAAGTTCTTGTAAACGTGTCTGTTCTAAATATGTGACGAATATTTCTAATTGGTTCAATATATAAGAAATAACCTGTATTTCTTGACCCACATATTATCACTGTAAATTTTCTCTTTTTGAAAAATCTCATTTTGTTCCTTTATTGGTTCCAAGTTTTCCGCAACGAAGAGTCATTAAGGATACAAAATAGAATAAAAACAAGTTATCTATTGAGATTTAATAAAATTCCATTGCCTTGTTCTCAACTTTCATCAACAACATCATCATCATCAATTATCTTGTCTGCATTTAGTTCTATTCCTACTCAAAGTGAATAAGATACGATTCATTGTATGAAATAAAAAACTAGTCATTAACAATCGACGATTATTACCAGTATGACAAACGAATTATTTTTTGAAAGAATATTTAACAAGATGAACGATCCATCAGTTGAATTTCTTACGTGTATGAAGAAAGTTCTGTAGCTGAGCAATCGCTTTTGAGCTGGAGTATACAAACAAGTCTATTAACGAATATAGCTATTCACGAAAGTATCAGGCTATTTGATCTGTTCCTGTTCTGAAAATCACCCTTGTCAGCCCAATCCATTAGAAACTCTGTTACAGGCATCTTTGTGAAATCTATCATATACAAAAAAAAAAGTACTTAACGGACTATCCAAAGTCCGATATTATTAGAAACTATAGAGATTTTTTTTTTCTATAGTCAAATCTATAATACATTATTATGTCAATCATAAGATATTTTTATGTCACTAAAAACTTTTAAAAATACCTTTTCGTTTTTCATTGGCAATTTGAATTAATTCATATACACTAAATGCATAAATACCGTTAATATCTAATGTTCCAAACATTCGTATAAATAATTTAGAAAGACTATTAAGACCAATTTGAATACATTTTTCTTGATTATCACTAGCATCATGTTCTTTAAGTTCGAACCATATATTATCAAAATCAATTGTTGAATAGATTTCACTTGTAAATGTTTTCATATCAATACAAATAATATGGTCATTATCTTTAAGTACAGTTGAACACATATAAGATTTTGATAGAATAAAACCATCATTAGTTGTTAATTGAACTATTTGTATATCATTACCATATTGTTGATTTATATATTTTTGTAATGCCTGAATTAGTTCATCAATAGTTTTATTTGATGATGATTCGATGACATAGATAAATTTGATTGTTGGAATGGTACTACTCTGATAATTATTTTCTGTTTCATTGCCTAGTTGAACTTTTATACGTAATGATGACATTTTTTTAATGCTTATGTCAGCAACAATTCCGTATTAAAATTTTTAACCTATTTTTTCTGTTCTGTTCTGTCCTTGACAACAGCGTTGATAAATAAGAAGAAAAAAAAGAAATGTGCTGTAATGTTTTTTTTTAATTCTCTGCAGTTACTATGACAATAACACACATGTTGGATTCGGACAGACGATTGTAATCATAAACATTCTAGACAGTCAAACAATGAAACCAACACCGTTTTTTACGTCAACAATACATCATTTTCTAGAAACTTTTCATAGTTTTATAAGGATCTCGCTATCAAATGAGATCATTTGATATTTTCCAGTGTATTTATGATTTTTCAATGTTTTTTAAGATTCATGATTTCGTTTGAAATACTAATAATGTGACCGAAGTTTTTAGAGAAAAACCTAGTGAATATACTCATGGATTTCGAGTACTCTGGTGGTCTATGTAAAATCACTCATAAGCATATATTCTATTAAATATTGTTTTACTACGTTCATTTTATTGAAGTATACAACTAATAATAAAAAATAAATACTTACAATGAAAATTTAAGAAATACAAAAACCACTTTCAAAATCAAAAGTATTACTTTAACTTTTTAACTTTTCTATACAACTCCGAGGGAAACTTTCTATTAGTAGAAAATAAAATAAATGTAAATACAAAGCAAATATTTAGAAAACAGAACATCAGTAAAAAGAAATGAATAAAAAAAATTACTCAAAGAAAATGAGAAAAGCTTTAACGCATTAACAGAAGGTGTTAGTTGCCCGTGTCATTCGAGTCGAACACATATCAATAGTTGTTCTCTATTTGGCAATCG